ACCATCAAACATCCACATCTGCCTATCCCAGGTCCTAGTAAGGACTTGATAGGTAGACAAAATGCCAAATCCAGTCTGAACATCTGGCTGACTATGCGATGATCCATAATAATAATAATAGTTTATCCCAACTGTTCTCAAAGTTAAGTTCTAGTTCTGAGAAAGTTGGTGGATCAATATTAATTTAATAACCCTGTTTTTAGGAAGGAAAATAAAATATGCCTGTGGAAGACCGCAAGTGCAAAGTCAGAAGCATCCTAAAATTCAAGATGGCAAGCTGCGTGTATGTGGGCCTCTTCCCGTGCAGAGCTAAGCCTCACTCTGTTTCTTTCAATATGAGAAAGGTTAAACAGCAGGCACCAAGTTCAGTGGAGTTCAGAGGTCTACCCGCAAAACATTCTTAAAAGCTTTTTAAACACACCCAGTAACCAATAACCCAAACAAACATTATTCCTTTCTTGTTTAAACACTGCACTTCTAAATTATTTCTAGGAACAGAAAAGGAGCAGAGAAACCAAAAGATAATCCAAAAAGACCAATATTTCTTTCCTCAATTAATCAGTAGTTATAAACAAATGGAAATCTTAAAAGCTGGAACTCAGCCAGCTGTCCATCGGTCTATAACCTTTGAGGAGGCACCAAAGTATTTAGTAAGGCTCACCCTGCTGGATCCAAATAGCCACAAAATACACAATGCAAAATCTGATTGAATTATTTAAATACAGAGGCAGGAAATCAACCATATTTAGACAGAGATTTCCAATTGGTGTCCACGGAACCCAGACTAGCTATAAAAAAGTAAGTGTATACTGGTCAACTGTGCTTATAATTCTGCCTGAAGCAACCTCAAATAGGAAATCTTTCCACCAATAAACAGCAGAAGTGAAGACCTGCATGCTATCAATATTAACACTGTTAAAATGAGGAAGAAAAATGGCCTGTATGTTTACATCATAAAGAAATCACAGCCCCAGACTGGATCACATTGTTTGAAAGATGTGCCCAGTTCTGGTCACCACGATATGAAAAGGTTGTTGAGACTCTGGAAATTGTGCAGAGAAGAGCAACGAAGATGAGAAAGGCTAAACTGTATGGTGATCAAGAATAGAATAGAATAGAATAGAATAGAATAGAATAGAATAGAATAGAATAGAATAGAATAGAATAGAATAGAATAGAATAGAATAGAATAGAATAGAATATAGGAATGAAGAATAGAAGAGAAGAGAAGAGAAGAGAAGAGAAGAGAAGAGAATAGAGGAATGAAGAATAGAATAGAATAGAATAGAATAGAATAGAATAGAATAGAATAGAATAGAATAGAACAGAACAGAACAGAACAGAATAGAATATAGGAATGAAGAATAGAATATAGGAATGAAGAATAGAACAGAATATAGAATAGATTAGAACAGAATATAGAATAGAATAGAACAGAATATACAATAGAGTAGAGTAGAACAAAATATAGAATAGAGTAGAACAGAACAGAATATCTTTATTGTCATTGTGTATCTCACAACGAAATTAAGTGCTGTCCACAGTGCACACTACCTACAAGTAAAAACCACAAATAAGAACATACCTTATATACACACATTCTTCACATTCTATTCACCATTGCGCTACTCCTAACATTGCACTTCAATGTCGCACTATACAGTGATATTTAATATGGTTACAGCTCTGGGATAAAAACTATTTTTCAGCCTATTTGCCTTTGTTTCTATTATCCTGTAATAGTTCAAAAAAAGAATGTCCGGGATGAGGGAGCTACGTATGTCTAAGCTATCGAAGGGAAGGATTAAAGGGGACAGGATAACCGTCTTCCAGTATATGAGGGGTTATCTCATGGAAGAGGGGATCGACTTATTGACTCAAAGAAGTCATGGATGGAAGCTTATTAAAGGGATTTCCAATCTAGAACTAAGGAGAAATTTCCTAACCATGAGAACAATTGATCAGTGGAATAGCTTGCCTTTCAGAGTGGTGGGTGCTCCATCACTGGAGGTTTCCAAAATAGACTGGGCAATCTTTGGACTGGGATGATATAAGGGGTTGGACTAGAAGATCTCCAAGATCCCTACCAGCCCTATGATTCTACGTTCTATGTTCTAAAGTTATCTTCTTCTCCCCTTTACAGGAAAAAGAGAAGAGTGTAAGTTGAATGTTGCCCATCAAACAATTAATTATCAGCATGTGGATTTCTCCTTCTACTCCTGGATGATCCCTTTTTGGGCCATCCCATAATTCTCGATGTCTTGATCAGTTCCAAAGAGACAGCCGAGAAGAACGCAGAAAACCCTGCAGGCAGAAAGGGGGGGGGAACGTCCTGTTAACTGTCTTATAGATTTCACATCAAAAGTCCCAACCGACTGCGACAATCTTCCAAGTTGGAGGGGTGTGTGTCACCAAAACATCCCTTGTGCGATGCATGTGTGATCTTTCGCACTAAGGTCTCTTTATCGCTGACTGACGGTGAAGCGGGATGATTATGACACGAAAGCAGACATTGGCCTGAGCGTATTTTAAGAGGGGGGGGGGGTCTTCTGTTATTTTTAGAAAATGCAAGTACAAGCCAGCCAAGTTGGGGTTTTGCTTTTGTGTGTGTGTGTGGGTAGGTGGGTGGGTGTGTTGCTGGTTTTAAGTGGGAATAAATAAAAACAAGATGTTCACTTAAGTTTTCTGAACTTTTTCCACTCTTATTTAGACATGTTACTAAAGCTTTTAGACATGTTACTGCTTTGAGCTTCAGCTAGTATTTCCTTTGGAAAGTTCTTCCCCCAAAAATTATTAATGATGGAAACGAAAGCCCTTTGTAGAACAAAACTATGCAAACAGCATCTTCTGCGCAAAGTAAGGCTAAAATATGCCATTATACTGGATTCTGAACTTGGCAATGAGAGGTTTAAAATATATATATATAGGTCGAATCCAAAGAACTTCAGAGTGGCTTTCTTATATCCAAGGAGGCTTTGGACTATGTTTATTAACATGAATTTATTTCTCATCTCACAGCACAACTTAATTTCAAGGGATTATGAGAAGAAGCCCTACTATTCGTATGTAACGCATTCTCCATCCTCATTGCTCATCCATACCGTGAGAGTTTGTGCTTCTGTCTTAGCAAGACATCCAGCAAGATTTCTTCCACCTAAAATTTGCTTTCTCATCATTTTTAAAAGAGAACAAGGAGTCAAGAAACACGCTGTATGTACAGCAGCCAGGAAAGCCTTGGAAAAGATCTTCAAATGTACTGAAATATATTAGCAGCAATTTAGGATTTGTTAGCACGGTAAGAAGAGAACGGCATCTGTGTAATGTATGGCAGCAAAAAAACCAGGAATGTGGTAGACTAAAATTGGTCCAGCTAACCTATTTTATTAAAAGGCAGATGCTTTTATGATTTGAAGATTATCTTCTGGGTGTCAAGCGCTGGGGAAATCGGGAGATTCAGACCGTTCAAATGAGTGGGAGTTAAGAAAGGAATTGAAGGTGGGCTGAACTTAAATCTCTTCCAGTGTTGGAGCAGCCACGACTTCTGGAGGCAGGTTGTTCCACTGGTTAATTGTTCTCCCTGTCAGGGAATTCCTCCTTAGTTCTACTAATAGTTAAGGCAACTTGGCAGTAGATAAAAGTCAAGGGATTTCATGGAAAACTGGACTCAGGCCTCTTGTGGGCACGAAGGGATTCCAAGCTAATGACATGTTTGACCCCCCTCCCTCGGGCTCAACCTGGTCATCTCCTACAGTCTGGTTAGATAGCAGTTTGGCCCTTTGCATCCTTATGAGATTAGAGTATTGTCCTCAACTCAGCTTGAAGATGGGTAGACTTCAACTCCCATGTTGGCTGGAGAATTCTGGAAGTGGAAGTCCACCCATCTTCAAGTTGCCACGGTTGAGAAACACTGGATTAGAGAAAAGTCAGAAGCAGAGCGGTATGACTTCTACTCTGACGTCACATCAGCTCAATTCCCAAAGGTCCATTCATGCAGATATTATCCAGTGTGATTCCCTGCAGGGATGAAATAGCCATTACTTCCAGTGAGGAATCAACACAGCCAGTGCAAGAAGGATACCATATAGTCCATGATACTAATTGCTGTTGAAAGTCTTCAAGGCACCTATCTTCTTTTTTCTGTCCCGTTCTTCACAACGATGACTCAAGCAGTTAAAAGCCAGACGTGGAGACTCCAGCAATTAAGTTTGTGTTGGTCAGCGACCATAACAAAAAGTTGCACTACATCGTTTTGTTTCCCAGATTCCTGGTTTTCAAGTGACCACCATGTTCAGTATCCTTGCTCAATTTTTTTACACTCAGAATTGGAAGAAGAAGAAAAAAAAGGACAGATTTTTCCTCCAGGATTCTAACCCCAAACCCATCTACCATCTTGGTTTGCAGGAGAAAAAATTTGTGTCCCAAAAGCACTTTTTCCAAAAGGCAACTGGACTGTCTTGTGTGTGTTTTTTCTTTTTTTTCTCCAAAGCCATTTCACTTCTCATCCAAGTTAGAACTGGGTTCTAACTGAGTTAGAACTGAAGAAGTTCCTTGGATGAGAACTGAAACGTTTTGAAAGATGAAAAAAACCAAGAAAGTCAGTCGCCTTTTTTGAAAAAGCATCTTTGGGGTAATCAAGACCCGGATGATCGAGAATCCGCATAGACAGCTAGAAAAAAATCTTCTTTTTCTGAAGACTGAAGTAGCAGGGGATCCACTGGACCGTTCCAGGTATATCGTCATTATTTCCTGCAAAGGTCCTTCCTTCCCATCATCCACAGCAGAAAGGTCATCTGGTTGATATCCCCGAAAAGTTCTTTTAAACTTACTTTTTTTTTTTTGAACCACCTCCCTACAAAAAAAGCCTTAAGGATGTGGCTACACAAAAAACAAACAAACATATTTCCAGTTTCTAATTTGCTTCTTCCAAGCAAGAAATCTATCCCACAATCAGAATGGATTTAGAAGCCAGTTCAAACCCTGGAGAAGAACATGATTGTTACCTTGAATTCTTCCACAATAATAGACAAGGCCTCGTGTCCAGCTTTTCTTAAATCTTCCAACTCCGCTTTATGCTTCTCCTGGAAACAAATATATGTAAAAAAAAGATGTTGAGACTCTAGAAAGAGTACAGAGAAGAGCAACAAAGATGATGAGGGGACTGGAAGCTAAAGCATATAAGGAACGGTTGCTGGAATTGGGGATGTCTAGTTTAACGAAGAGAAGGACGAGGGGGGATTGTTTGCAAACAGTCTTCCAATATCTCAAGGGCTGCCCCAAAGAAGAGGGGGTCAAGCTATTCTCCAAGCACCTGAAGGCCAGACAAGGAATAACGGGTGGAAACTTATCAAGGAGAGAAGCAACCTAGAACTAAGGAGAAACTTCCTGACAGTCAGAACAATTAACCAGTGGAACAACCTGCTTCCAGAAGCGGTGAATGCTCCAACACTGGAAGTTTTTAAGAAGAGACTGGACAACCAATTTGTCTGAAATGGTATAGGGTTACCTGCCTGAGCAGGGGGTTGGACTAGATGACATCCAAGGTCCCTTCCAACTTTATTATTATTACTACTACTACTACTACTACTACTACTACTATTATTATTATTATTATTATTATTATTATTATATGAGACAAAAATGAGGAAAAACAGTCGAGCTTTTTTTCCAGGCCACTAAATCTGAGCAGGCGTCACTGACACACTTTAATTTCTATCAAAGAGGCATCGTTGCTACCAAGGCTTTCTCTGCTTCTAGTTCCAGAGTTTTAATTCTAAGACGATAATGTAAGAGACAAGAGATTTTGTTGGATCCTGCTGGGGGAACGTTGGTCAGAACCTACTTTGTACTCTGATTATGAGCTCTCCCTCACTCCAGCTAAGACTTAGTGAAAAGTAATGGGAACCAAGAAGGATACCCAGCCTTGCCCACAGTTAGCAGAAAGGGCAACATATTGCTAAAGTAATTTAGATTTTTGACCTTTGATGAAACAAGGGGCCCATGCCAGCCCATCCAGCTGTTGCTGATTTACCACACAACGAAGCTCCCGGCACAGGCATCCACACGGAGATTCGGTGTCAAGGCAGGAGAGCCAGTTTGGCCTAGAGCAGGGGTAGGCAACCTTGGCCCTTTCATGACTGGGGGACTTCAACTCCCAGAATTCCTGAGTCAGCATGGCTGGTTCAGGAATTCTGGGTATTGAAGTGTGCAGGTCATAAAAGAGCCAAGGTTGCCTACCCCTGTTCTAGGGGATAAGGCACCAGGCTAGAAAGTGGGAGACTGTGAGTTCTAGTCCTTCCTTAGAGCCATAAAAAAAAAACCAGTTGGGTGACTTTGGGAATATTGAATGGAATGGAGAATAGAATAGAATAGAATAGAATAGAATGGAATGGAATGGAATGGAATGGAGAATAGAATAGAATAGAATAGAATAGAATAGAATGGAATGGAATGGAATGGAATGGAATGGAATGGAATGGAATGGAATGGAGAATAGAATAGAATAGAATAGAATAGAATGGAATGGAATGGAATGGAATGGAATGGAATGGAATGGAATAGAATAGAATGGAATGGAATGGAATGGAGAATGGAATGGAGAATAGAATATAGAATAGAATAGAATAGAATAGAATAGAATAGAATAGAATAGAATAGAATAGAATAGAATAGAATAGAATGGAATGGAATGGAATAAAACGGAATGGAAGAGAGAATGGAATGGAATAGAAGAGGGAATGGAATGGAATCGAATGAAATAGATAAATAGAATAGAATAGAATAGAATAGAATAGAATAGAGGAATGAAGAATAGAATAGAATAGAATAGAATATGGCAACTAGGCCTAGAAGAGTTATTGATTAAAAGCATTTAATTAATTAATTAATTAATTAATTAGTATCCTGCCTTTATTATTTTTATAGAAAACTGAAGGCGGCTAAAATGAAATGGAAGTTCAAAATGAAAGAGACTCATTCCAAATTAGGAAACATCACCAGTGCCAGCTAGGTAACTGTTAACACTGATAATGTTACCTAGTTTGGTAAAGAAACGTCTGTAAGAAAACCACCCAGCTCAGAGGGCACCAAGAATCACAGATTCAGTGAGATACCGAAGAATTTCTTCAATGTTTTTTTTTTCTTGTTCTTAAGCAGCCTCTTATTTAAATCATATTTAAATCACAAACCATATCTAAGAATTAAAAAGTAAACTAGAATGGCTGGTAGTGCCAAATTCAACAACATCTACAATAATCAGCATAATTAAATATTTCAGTATTCGTCCACGCCCGTTCCAAAATGGCCTGGACGATGTTCTCTAATTGATATGTAACTGGATCTATATGATGTTTAAACATCATTTACACGGAGTATCAAAATACAAAGGTTGCTTTCAAAGAAATTGGCCTACCTACCGGTGAAACTATTTTTACAAAGAGACTCAGCACTGGCCTGAAAAATATACTTTCTGCTGAGCAAAAAAATCTTGGAAACGATTCTTAGCACAGCAATTTGCTGGAAGGAATTGCAATCAATTATAGGTGACGCATAAGGCTAACTCAAGGCTATTGTACCAATGTTTGCATGCTTCAAATTTAAGCAGAACTCAGTGTAATTTAAATCACCGCGATTCAGTTATGTTCTAGATGTGAACACGGAGGCTGGCAACACAGCCTTGTCAGATACAACATGTGTGTACCAGGAGTCAATTGACAGACATAAACCTACTTTTTCTACTGGGAGAGAAAGTGAGGTTTCGTCAAAGATACAGCCATTTCCCCTCCCTTTGCCAAAAAGAAGAAACAAACGTGGAAGTGAAGTCTTTCCTTGTACTAATCATTATTTTTTTGTTATCCATCAGGAAGGAGTACCCACTAGTAGTAATTCTATGTAGTTACATACCAATAAAGGAAAATATTTTTTTTAGTTCAGGGTAGAGACGAGAGGTCCTTGATACTCTTTGAGCTTGGTTGTTTTCTTACAGACATTACATTATGTCATTACATTATGTTTTCCTTGAAGACGTTGCGCTTCTAGAAGGAGGAGGAGGAGGAGGAGGAGGAGAAGGAAGAGGAGGAGGAGGAGGAGGAGGAGGAGGAGGAGGAGGAGGAGGAGTACTGTGAGGTCCTTGGTGCTCTCTGAGCTTGGTTGCTTTTTTGCAGATGTTTCGTGACCCAACTAAGTAACCTCATCAGTGCTAGAAGGGGACGAGAATGAAATGGGGAGGAGGAGGAGGAGGAGGAGGAGGAGGAGGAGGAGGAGGAGGAGGAGGAGGAGGAGAAGTAGTAGTAGTAGTAGCAGTAGTAGTAGTAGTACTGCTGTGAGGTCCTTAGTGCTCTCTGAGCTTGGTTGCTTTCTTGCAGATGTTTCGTGACCCAACTAAGTAACCTCATCAGTGCTAGAAGGGGAGGAGGAGGAGGAGGAGGAGGAGGAGGAGGAGGAGGAGGAGAAGAAGAAGAAGAAGAAGAAGAAGAAGAAGAAGAAGAAGAAGAAGAAGAAGAAGAAGAAGAAGAAGAAGAAGAAGAAGAAGAAGAAGAAGCATAGGAAGAGGAAGAGGAAGAGGAAGAAGATGAAGATGTGGAGGATGTGGAAGGAGAAGAAGAAAGAGGAGGAGGAAGGAGGAGGAGGAATAATAATAGAAGAAGAAGAAGAAGAAGAAGAAGAAGAAGAAGAAGAAGAAGAAGAAGAAGAAGAAGAAGAAGAAGAAGAAGAAGAAGAAGAAGAAGAAGAAGAAGAAGAAGAAGAAGAAGAAGAAGAAGAAGAAGAAGAAGAAGAAGAAGACTTAAATTGTTTAGGGAATTACACTGCTTGCCTTTTCTTTCCTCCCCGTGCATTGGAAACAATATTGTCCTCTTCCCCGTTACAGCTGATATAGCTCTTTCCGCCAGAACAGAACAAACTTTCTTAGGCTTGTGGAAGGCAACCTAAGGCCTTTTTCCTGTTCCTTGGCTCAGATTATTAACACAGATCAGACCAGTCCCCCCCTCCCCAGTATGTGCTAAATGGCTTCCGCGGCCCACTACTCCCCTTCACTGGAGCTGTTCCCCAACATCTAATTTCTCTGAAAGAAACATGAAATCTACAACAATCTCCTTCCTCTCTATTCAAGGAGGAACAGATAGGGAAAAGAAACTCAGACAAAAATCCAGCCTGACTATCAAACTCCCAACTGCAATCAGTCTTGAAGATGCTTGTGGATCCATGACATACATGTACACATTGACATATGACTGGCTAAAAGCCATACTCCGGGCCAGAGCTACATACACCGGGAATTTCTTATATACCGGTAGTCCTCGACTTACAAAATGGAGCCCCAATTTTCTGTTGTTAAGGGAGACATTTGTTCAGTGGATTTTGTCCCATTTTACGACATTTTTTTGCCCCAGTTGTTAAGTGAGGCTGATTAAGTTGCCAACCCGGTTGTTAAGTGAAACTGTCTTCCCCATTGACTTTGTTTGTCTGATTGTAAAAAAAATGGGTTGCAAAAAATGGGAAGGAAGAGTGATCAGGTAGATTGGAAGGGAAAAATCAAGGAAATCATAGACCAGGGGTTCTCAACCTTTTTAATGCCGCGACCCCCAATCAGTCGTAAGTCGACGACTACTCAACCGGTCGTAAGTCGAGGACTACTCAACTGGTGCAGCACCGTTTGCAGAATGGGACTTTTGGCGGGCTCAGCAGGGCAGAGACAGCCTGGACAATTCCTATTGCCTTTTGAAAGCCAACAGAATTAGACTCTATTCAAGAGAGTCTATTCTATTGGCTTTTAAAAGCCAATAGAATAAAAGGGAGTAGCACAGCTAAGGAAAAGGGGGGGGGAATGGCAGACTGCGTTGTTTGGCGACCCCCATGAAATGGTCGTTCGACCCCAAACGGGGTCCCGACCCACACGTTGAGAACCGCTGTCATAGATGGATGGAATTTATGAGTTCCTCAAAGAGAGAGAGAGAATTGAATAGTTTTTAAGCAAACTATACACTGGCGAAAACAAGGCTAGTTTGCAAGCATCCCAAGGTATGGAATAAATTACATTTTGTTTTTTTTCCCCCCATATAACAGATCTTTAATTCTTGGATTT